TTCTACCTCACATTTCAATGCCGATGTTGATATTTTAATTTCAGCTGCAGCAACATCCCAGATGGCGCCTTGGAAATATCAAATCGATCCGCTGAAAAAAGTGACAAGCCATTGTAATAGATCGATAATACCTGTCAACTTCTTGTTAAAGTAACATGTCTGTTTGAGCTCACATCTTAGCCACCCAGCTTGAGTTGATTTATCAATCCCACAATTTGCGATCACATCTCAGTCACGATCGACGGACGACTAGAAGTCGCCTGGCGGAAAATAAACAATGATCGTCGACCCTTTCTCCTTGTGTGGTAATTATATGGAAGTTTCAGATCAATTCACCACGCTTGACTGTGTCTAAATCACTAAGGCAGCATACAGTGACTCACTTTATGGCTCTGTCAATACAAAGTAATAAATTGTTATGTTACTTCCATAAGGGGGGAAAAAACAAGACATATCTTATCATCGAATTAACAGCTGTTTCCAGCGTCAAGATGACGTTGGCTGATTATATAATAATTGGGAATTATCACTTCAAAGTGACCTGCATGTGTGGTATTTAACTCTTATCCTGCGTATTTATAATATAGTCCAATGTTCGCGGTTTTAATGTTGTAAGCCAGCAGCTATGATCAGTACATTTTAGCTTTCGATGTAGAAGAAAGCAAATGTGATCGATTGTTCGTATATTTCATGTAAGGAGGTAAATAGTATTGCCACGTTTTTAACAGTCATCAAGGAAAGTACCCGCTTTGTTCATACCTTTTATGGCTGGATGCCGTACACCGTGACATTGTCGATCTTTTTGTTTAACTCAAATTTAGAATTTTTTTTCTAAACTTTTATTAATGGCTGCTAGCTCTTGTGTCTACAGTTTTCTAACCTTTATATCAAAAGTAAGTAAAGTAAAGGACCTTTTTCAAAACATTCAGGCCTATTGGGCAGATCTATATTTTATAGACCGATCGGCATTCGGTGGACGTTGCACGTCAGAATTGTTCATCTCTACTGACATGGAGAGTTTTGGGAAATGCCATTCTGGTCTCAAGACTCAGTGAAGGGAAAACATTAGCTGCACCTCCATGCGGTAGAGGATGGTAAACACATTGCGATGTGGCCAACGCAGCTATGGGGACCGAGTATCCAGCGGGATAAGTGGACTCATCTGGGGTGCCCTTTGCTGTTAGCAGGAACATAACAGAGAAGGGCACTCACTTGTCCTAGCAATCGAAAAAGTTGCTGAAGGCTGAGGACGTGAGGACGTAGTCTAAGGCCATGTGGATGTGGAAACCAACGGCAAACTACCACATTGCTATACCAAGAAACTCATCATGGAAGCCAAATATGAAGGAAGCTGACATATTTTGGTCATATCAAGCGGCACGACGGATAGGAAAACATTATAGCAGAAGGCATGGTACCAGGAAGGAGAGGCAGGGGCCGACCGACACGAAGATGGGCACAGGATATAAGTGACTCCTTGAGTATGGATGTACATGAGGAGGAAGAACTGGCGAGAGACCGAGTTTCTTTCAGGCAGAGTGTGATGAGAGCGACATTCTGCAAAGGACCTGCTACATGATGATGACTGACACGTTACGGCTGAAAAACTCTCAGAAGAAAGCAACAGAAGCACCATTGAAAGCGAGAAGTGCAAGAAGGAGGAAGCGACTTGGATTAGAGGAGGTACAAGATCAGTCTGTAGGCTTTCCTTATTTGACAGGGAGTCACTGAGGTCAAAATGTAGAATATTTAACTAAAAAAAGTGACGTCGTTGGTTGTAAAATGTTACATTTTTTCCACTTATCCTGGTATAACTTTCTCAAATATTAACTAATCTGCATGACATTTTGCATGCTTGCTTACATTACAACTGGCTATGATGTGAACTAGGGAAATTCCAATATCATGATTGTGTTCATTTTTATGTAATTTAAAAATTGTAATTTTCCACACACAAAAAGAGGCACATTTCAGGTGCTTTACATAAAATCTATTAAATGTGTACTATTTCCATAGAACAGGCTAGACTCACATCATTTGTTTATGTGCAGTTTAATTTTTAAGGAATTTGGCTATACCACTTCGCTACAAATATTTCCAAAGTAACATCTATATTTTGCATATTTTAAAAATTATTATATCACATACAAAAATTATTATATCACATACAAAAATTATTATATCACATACAAATATTATTATATCACATGTGTAAATTGAATTACAAAGAAGTTTCTTTTATATGATAGCCTGATCATATGGTCAATATGTCTAAAAATGTTAGAGTTCTATGTTCAAAATTAATTTTTTAATGATTGTTTTTTCTAACGCCACTGATTCCCTGATAGAACTGCCCACTTAAGGTTTGGGGCATACCTACGTAGTATTTCCGAAGATAGTAGTAGGTGCATTGTAGCTAACTGGGTCATTATCTCGTAATAATTTTTATGATGATAGTAGGTGCACTGTAGCTAATAGAGCATAACCACGTAATGTTTCAAAAGACAGTAGTAGGTACACTGTAGCCAATCGGGGCATAACCACGATATTTTACAAAAGACAGTAGTACGTGTATTATAGGCAATTGGGTCATAACCCCGTAATGTTTTAAAAGACTGTAGCAGGTGTACTGTAGCCAGTCGGGACATAACCAAGTTATAATACAAAACACAGATGTAGGTGCACTGTAGCAATTTAGGGCATAACCATTCACTATTTCCAATGACAGTAGTGGGCGCACTGTAGCCCATTTCTATTATGGATAAGGCACACACACAGCAAGTGGAAAATATAAAATGTATGTATGCGTGTGTGTGTGTTTGTGTGTGTGTGTGTGTTTAATAAAAAGATAATATTTGAGTACGACACAGTAACTGTTGCTAATATTGTATAGCTCTTTTAAATGGAGAATAGCGTTGAGTTAAACACTACGCAGCTTTCATAGCAACACGTTAGAAGTATCTGTAGCTGATATATCCTATATTTCATGAGTAGACGTCAAAAGCTGAGGACATATTCAAGTTTAATTTTAGCAGCTAAGTTTTGTTTCTTTCTTTCACAGAGATAGGTTTGTTTTGGACATGTTCTATCTTTAACAGAGACAGGTTAATTTTGGACATGTTCTGTCTTTTACAGAGACAGGTTAATTTTGGACATGTTCTGTCTTTTACAGAGACACTTTATAAATGCACATATTCTAGCCTTCACAAGGACATGTTATTTGTGTTGCTGACATGCAAGCTCATATCGACAACCACCTGATGCTTTCACAAAGACAGGTAAGTTTTGGAGATGTTCTAGATTTCACAGAGACAGGTTAGTTTTGGATATGTTTTAGATTTCACAGAGACAGGTTAGTTTTGGACATGTTCTATCTTTCAAAAAGACAAGTTAGTTTTAGACATCTTCTAGTTTTCACAGTGACAGATTAGTCGTATTTATAATTAGAATGTTCCATGTTTCATGAATATGTGCCCAAAGTTTAGGTAATTCTATACTTTTCATTAAGAAAATTATTTCTGATAGATAATTGGTATTTTTTTTTTTTTAGATTGGGGCCATTATTGGTTATCAATATAGTTTTCATTTGCCGTTGACTATGGCGAAAGGTTATTAACTCACTTTCATAATTTCGCTATACATGGTTGCAAAGACAGATGAGGTGAATTTGCTGAAGATCAGATCTAGCCTCGACTTGTTAAGAAACCAATGGTTAACTCTTCAAAGTAAATAAGTCTTGTAAAACTATAATCAAGCAACAAATTGTCAGGTTGGATTGCGTAGTCTTGCAAACGATATGCAACTAACCATAACGTAGTAATTATAACAGATGAATGGTTCAAAAGGACATAGAAACAAATGTGCAAATCCTCCCATTACGTATCTGTAAAGACTCATTGCAGTTTACAGTAACCTTCGCCAAACACACTCAGCTATAAATCAATATCTCATTTGTAAGATATATTCTTTCACCAACTATGATTTGTTTTCAATTGGGACGCTTCCAACTACATACGTTGTTCTGTATGATATTAATCATATCTTGCAATGAGAATTATGAATGACTTATGAATGCCAAAAGCTATAACTGAAAAGGCGGGTCACAGCAGCCTAAGCACATGGCACATGATACCTATTAAATTTTGAAATAATGTTTAGTTTAGAATAAATGTGTTAACATTGTTGCAATTTAAGTAACCTCAACCAAACACGCACAGTAACATAAATCTCTCTTCATTGTGTGTGATATTCTACCCCAGCTAATTATAGCAGCTTTCTGCGATCAAGATTGAACTAATTGAGTTATTCATTTGAAAATTTCCAGCATATGTGGCTTAAGCGTTGCGAACGAGCTTCGTAATGCCAGGGTTCCAGGTTTGATCCAAGCTGCGGATGGTTAGTCTTGTGTTGGTTTCGACAGTGGCACGGAAAGCTGGCCGTTAAGATAACAATGACAAACTACTGAACCAAAAATTTGCCTAGAAAAACATCAACAGCCGAAAATTGCTGGGATTCGTTTTGCAACGTCCTGTAAAGAATACCTAATTTTTAAAAACTTAGAAATTATCCAATGTCTCTCAAGGACGCAAAAATATTTGCACGAACTCCAATCAGTTACCCGATGTAGTTTATCTCTTTAGTTCTCACTTTCGATTTTTGTATATGAGTTTATTTGAAAGGAAGTTTTCTTTCTTAGCAGGTAATCCTTTATAAACAAATCCGACGCTTTCTTGCGTGCGTGTGCTTTTCCTTAGCTATGAATAAGGGAGTGTTTATTTGTGTGTGTGTGTGTGTGTGTGTGTGTGTGTGTGTGTGTGTACATAGATGTAAAGAGAGTTCAAGCGGGGTAGAGGCTAAACGCTCGCTTGCGGATCGGAAGGTCGTGGGTTCGGTTCCAGGTAGAGCCGGACTTATTTTCGAAAAGGACTTTGGCTCTCAGGCTGACCCAGCCAAGATAGATACCAACCACGGTCCTGGGAAGTAAAGACGGCCGGCCTGAT